ATGCAAAAAAATTGTAAGGAGAGAAGTCAAACTTGAACCTCTAGCGACTAGCATTAAAATAAACTTTCAAGCCCACTTGATCTAACACATATTGTGTTATATATTTGATTTCACTTGTATATCTACCAACATTGTTTTACTAGTACAACGCCCGTGTATTACACGGGTGCTTGCTAATTTTTTCTTTAAAATCTAAAATTATTGAGAAAAAGTAGTTGAAAATTTAAATAACTTTTATAAAAATATATATTATTATATATTTAGTATGACACTTTTTATTTGTGTGACTTACTTGTGTTATATTATAATAATTTTTTAACTTACAACATATAACTACATTAAACAAAAATATATCAACTGAGAAATAATTTTATTTTTTTAATAAAATTTAAAAAATATTATTTTTTATTATTATAAAGGTAAATATTATTTATTTATTTTATATATACAATATGGATGTCAAATCGAAGATCATGAAAAGAAGATTAATTTGATATATTATATATGTAAAACCGATAAGAAATACAAAAGTTATCAACTTTTAAAATACATTTATAATTCAATAGCTAATTGAAGGAAACAAATCAAAAACCAGGGATATATTAGTCACTTAGTGTCTCACTATGTAAAATTGCAAAGAATTAAAGGGTTATATTAGTACAAGTGATATTAAAATACCTAAGTTAGCTATATAATATTTATGGAATGTCTGAACCTAGATATTAATTATTAATATATCAATATTATTTGTCCGAACCTAATTACGAAGCATGATTCTTCGCCAAGTAGGATTCCGAAGCACCAGAAGCAGCCACGTAGGCTCAGCGCATTCAGGAATTATATATAGGGGCGATTCAATTTATAATAATTTTAATTATAAAATTTATATATAATTTATTTATTAAATATGTATTAATTACGAAATAAAATATAGTAAACTAAATAAATAATAGTATATTATTTTATTATTGTGCTTAATTGAACTTTTATTATCGTAAATGTAATTTATCTCATTAAACTTTTATTAATTTTTATATATCAAATAAATATTTACTAAATAAATAAATATTTAATAAATAAAAAAATATATTAAATAATATAATAGATAAATATCTTAACTCTTAAGTATATAATTTTTAAAATACTTAAATAGATATATGTACTTAATAATATATTTAATATATAATAAATAAATATATTAAATGGTTAAAAAATTAAATATATTAATTAAATGAATAAATATAATAAAGGATATTGATATTAAATAAATATATATTAATTGAATATTTAATAAATAACTTTATTGAATTAACTATTTACTAAATAAGTATTTAATATATATATTTAAATTTAATTTGTCTATTAAATAAATAAATGTATTAAACAATATAGTAAATAAAAAAATATTTTACTAAATAAGTACAAATATTAAATAAAATAATGAATATTAAATAAATATATATATTTATTTAGTAAATATTTATTTACTACATAAATATGTAGTAAATATTTATGGCAATATAAAATGAAAAAGTACTCGAAATTTTTTACGTCGTTCTTATTACATACAAATTTACCTTCTGTAATATATA